GGTGACAGGGCAGTCCCTTCCTTGTTGCGAAGGTCCCGTTCCAAACACTCTCGCGACAAGTGAAGAATCAGCGAAGTAGCCATGCTGTATTTATTTTAGTAGGTATACATACTTTAAAGCTTTATAAACCCTTCCCACATTCTTATAAACCTTTCCCACACTTTTAAAAACTCTTCTAATGTCCTTAACCATTTTCTAAACTCATAAACCTAAGTAATTTTAACAACATACGTACACTGTACAATACTGCAAAATCCCGTGATATTGTGAAAAATCTGTAATAAATGATTTAGATTAATGTTTCTTAAAAATCCGCAAAATGGTGAGTGCACAAAAGTCAAACCACGAAATAGCAAGGGTCTACTGTGAAAAAAATCTGCTCTTCAAATCACTCCCAGCAAGCCTTGCCCACTGCCCTTTCTCTGGAGGAGCAAATGCAGTGCCAAGGACAGCTACAGAATCTATCTTGGCTCCTCCTATTTCTGGTACTCAAGTCTGGGCTACCTTTCCCCTTGCCTTACCTACCCTAAGGAGGATACTTTCCATAGCAACTTCTCTAGGACCAGCTGCCACAGCCATAGCTTTTGCTTCATAAACAAGAAGCTTGCTACACATAAATGAAAGTATAAATAGGTTTGGCTGAGCCAGGATAAAAGAGCCCATAGCCCACTCAAGGATTTTTCCAAGGGATCTGACAGCAGGTACCAAAGCAGAACTGCCAGGCTCTTCATTCACCCCCCCCATGCAAATAATAATTGTAATAATAGTTGCTGTAAATTATAGTGCAAACACAAGCCCATCGGGTCCTTCTTCCCTCATCCTTACACCTCCCACTCCTTCCTCCACTCACCCTTGACAAGGCCCTGGCAGCCCAAGGCGCCCCCACACATCTTCCTCAGCACACACCTCCATGCCCCGAGACCAGCTGGCTTGGGATTAAAATGGACCACACTAGGAAGTGCCTCAGAGAGTTAAGTCTATGGGATCGAATTTCTTTGGCCTTTTATAGATGCATTATGAACCCAGAGAATGAGGGATGATGGGCTGAGATCCTGTGTTCCTTCCAACCAGCCTTAGCTGCTCATGGCTAAAGCAAACCGCGTTAGTGCTTGTCTGTTAAGGCAAGAGGTTTGCCCTGAGGATCTCTAAGATCTCTTGGCTGAAAGTTCGAGAGTTCTCTGATGCTACTGTCAGAGGAACTGGAGGAACTAATGAAAACTTCTAAGTACTAATATGACCCCTTTACAAAATTTCTCAAACTCCTTTGTTCTATCTCCTATTCAATTCTTTTTTGCTTACTTAGACATGAAAGCAATCTCTGGGAATGTGGGCAAAACACTAACACATTGTTATCTTATCAATGATAATTATTAGAAAGTGGCCACAGAAAGTACAGTCTTCTGGAGGAGTTGGGTGGCCCTACAACATGCTTCATGCAGGTCAATAGATGAAGGTGTTACATCACCCCAAAGAAAGGCCATTCACCTTCTCCACAGCTCACATGACATAAACATGTCTATGCCAGCTTCCAAGCAAGGTCCTAGGACACCAAGATAACCAACATTAAGCCCTAGGAGTTGGGAATCCAGCAGGCAAGAGCTAGGCAGTCTTCCACTTAGTAACAAGCTTTCTTTCAAAAGATTTCATTCTGCTAAGAAAGCCAACCATTAAGGCGGGTAGGGAAAGACAGAGCCTGCAACATTATGCAACTAGATTTTGTATCCTACTTCGGCCTGGCCAACAAAAGCATGATGCCATGCTTTGCAAAGGACTGTGTCGGCCGGGCCATAACCACTTTCTGTGGCAACTTGGCTAAATTTAAAATGAACCAGGTAACTGCAAGGTAAAGGCTGATGAAGGGAAAGAGTCTCTTCCTTCTGCCTGCAACCAGCACAATCCTCTGAAAAAACATTTGACTTTTTATAAATAGATTAGATCCTGTCCTTACATTCAAATAGCCCCAGATAATCAGGAACTGAAGCGTTAAAACTCTCATTATGAGAGAGTGCATCGCATGTAAAGGGGCTCAGCGCAGAGAATTAAACGAGGCGCAGGGTTAGCCTGGATGACCTTGGGCTAGTCAACCTGGTTCCTCAGGAAAAAGGGTGTTTGATGGTAACTTCACTGGGTTAGGGGAAGATGCTTATAAAGTGCAAAAGAGATACAAAAAAGTCTTCATCAGACAGTTGTTCTCAACAACCAGCAGGAAAGCAATGTTTACAAAGGTGTCACTGACTGATCAATTCAGAAGCTTTTACCTTGTAAGCTCCACCCAAATCAGACACTATTTTGGCAGAACAAACACTATTCAGAAATAAACAAAGTATTCCTCCCTGCTGAAGGCTGCTGCCGAGTGCTCACCAGCAGCTTAGGAATTTACTACCCGATGACCAGCAGCTGATGGGGCAGGAAAGGGAGCAAGGAGGGTTTGAGGAAGGTTTCAGGGGTGGAGAAAAGACAGAAGCCTTTCCACGGACACAAAGAACATTCTGAGTCACACATCTTCAGGGCATCGGGTTTATCGGCTCATCCCTGACAGACTGACAACCATCTCCTCTCCACAAAAAAGTTCACTGCTTACTGACTGGGCTCTAGAAACAATCCCTGGACTCGGGAAGCAAGCTACTTGTTTGCAAGTTACCGGCAAACATCTTTCATTATGCTGTCACTGTACCATGTCCCAAGGACTAAATGAAACACAGCACACGTGACCCAAGCATTTTCGGATGACCGGGAATAATCCTGGTCCTTGATCTCCTGTGCTTATTATTGGAACGTCACAAATTTAACAAACTTCATGGAAACATACTTGTCACATCTGTGTACCTAAACATCACACCGAGAATCCAGGTCAATATTCACATACTGGTTCCATAAGAACAATCCAAAGTAAAAGTGTTACTTTCCTGACTGATGAGCAATAAGAGAATTATTTTATTTTAATTACACAGAATATTTTAATTTTAATTACACAGAATATACGATGATAATGAGAAGAGCCATGCAAAAAGAACAGGGGATCTGGGGTAGAACTCAGGAGGTAATGTGTGTGCCTCACTTGAGCAAGGGCACGGGACACACACACACACACACACACACAAAGACAAGACTGAGAGTGGAAGCCATAAGAAAACAATGATATGCAAATTATAGATGCAATTCTTAAGTCAGCTTGAAGAAAGTGTCTTTTGGGGCTTGTGCCTGGTTCTGACTATGTAAAGAAAGGAACTGCTGTATTCTTTTTCCACTTGAGTACAATGAAACGGACCATTCAGCAGCACTTTTGTCTGCAGCACAGAGCCCTCAGCCCCTCAGCACAGTGGGCTGCAGCAGAAGAGGTAGGAGAAGTCACAGGGGTAGGTTCTTGCTCCTTGTTATCACCCTTAAGTTTCTGCACTGCATCTGGTCCAGATTTTCCTAATGTTGGGTTTACTGCTATCAAGCCCGATATAATTTACTGATTGAATCTTCTATTATTTTGCTACCTTTGCTTTCATTACAAAGTGTCAAATAAATTTGATTATCTACACCACAGAATTTTCCTGAACTGAATACAGAATCTAAGCCATATCACACAAAAAACTGGTTTTGATGCGTCCTAAGTTCTTAACTGTGGCACTCCCCTCAAGGCTACCCCCAGATAGATACAAACTCAGAAGCCCAGAAGTTCTACCCTGTATTTTCACGAAGCAAATACAAAGAAACCCTACCCACCTTTTGCATTTATGCTGGCCTTACTTCAAGCCCCATAACCATCTTTCCTGATAAGAAACACTGAAATCTGATTCTAATTATGAAAATCTAGTAAGCAAGTGCGATTAAAAAAAAAAAAATACTGCCTTTCTCCTACATACATCCTACTTGAAAAAAACGGTGTTAAAACAGGAAAGATTTTTCTAACTCCCCACAGAGAAGGAAAACAGGTTCTATGTCCCTGGTTTCTTCAGAGTCCATCCAAGGAACACGCATCACACAGGCCAAAGCAAAAGCAAACTTCGGCGGCTCACGCAAGCAGAAACTTCCACCGAGGTCGGGAGGGGCCCGCGACACTGTGCAACATAAGTGCGTGGATGGAAAAATAATTGTGGGAGCCGCAGGATCACCCTGCCTCCCAATGGTAGCAAACTTTACAGTAACCGTCTATATCTCTATAGATTTAGAAGCCCAGTACTGGTACCGTGTTTGGAAATGTCTACCCTGCACTTACAATACTGCAGAACTTGGCCAGGGCGCTGACTGCCGCTCTTAGATACCCTCTATGCACTGTCAAACAGAGAAGGTCATACTGCCTGGTCACCTCTTTCCCTCCCTGCATCACAGGAGTTTTCTACTTTTGAGACTGCTCAACTTTCATATGCAATGAAGTAAAATCGCTATTCAGCAACTTTATTCACCTTGGTTAAAAAAAAAAAATTAATTGTACAGTGGCCAGGAAAAACTGATACCAAGACTGTCTCTGCGACTGAAAATGCAACTACAATGGGATGGTGGGGGGTGTTCCTGTGTGCTCAAACCCGAGGAATCCTTTTTTCAAAAATCTAAAAGGAAAGGATCCCATCCCCAGTAGGGGCTGGAGAACTTTTTTCCTAAGGAGACCACCCCTTGGGAACAAAAGTTAGATTTCAGTCACATGTCGGGTGTAGGAATGGGGAGCAGGGTTTTTGTAAGCGCACTAATTACGGGAGTGACTTACAGAGCCGGAGACAACCCGGGTTCCTCGCAGCCAATTGTGACGGGCATTTCATTGTCAAAAGAAAGGGGGTGGGGTGGGGTGGGGGCCGAGGAGCCGACCCGGGGCTCGCGCGGGTGGGGGGAACAGCAAGGTTACACTAAAGGGTACAGCCGCCGCGGCGGGGAGCTGCATCCTCCGCTCGCGCCCCAAATAATGCACCGCGAGCAGAGCACCGGCGACAGCCCACTCCGAGAAGAGCCCGGCACGACTGCCCCGCCGGTGCGGCTCCAGCTTCCCGACCACCGAGAGGAGAGGAGCAGATCTTTACCTTAATGCTACACTGAGCAGGAGTCTCAGACATGTCTCACAGCGAGAGGGATCAGGAAGTTCTCAGTTTTTTTCCACTTTCCTTTCCTCTCCCCAACCCAGAAACGCTCCACGGGCAGCCGGACGCGGTCATTTAAGAAGTTTCTTGCAGCATTTCTGGGG